CCTGGCGGAGCGTGTAGCGCTCGTCCTTGAAGTTGTCCGGGTCGCACGTGGCGGCGGTGTAGCGCATGTGGGTGAACTCGCGCGACTCGCGGTCGTTGAGCTTGTCGAGCAGCTTTGAAGGCACGGGACAGTCGAGCACGAGGTTGCCGTGGTAGAGCTCGACGCGCTTGAGCGTCTTGTATCGGCGCGGCACACGCTGCGGGATCTTTCCGTAGCGCACGCCGCCGGCAGTGCCGTTCTCCATGAGGCTGGGGTCGAAGCCGCCGGGCATGTAGTCGTCCGGGTCGCCGCTGTGCGGATGCAGCAGACGGCCGCGACCGTTGGCGCCGTCTACGTCCATGCCGTCTTCGTCGCCATACTTGTCCATGGGTCCGATGTGGTTGCCATGCTCATCAAAGTGCGACGCGGGCGCGTAGGCGTAGTTGCCGTCCCTGGGTAGGAGGGGTACATCGTTGTCGTGCTCGTCAAAGGGGTCGACGCCGACACGGTGGGGCTGCGAGTTGCCGTAGGGATTCGACATGCGGGGCGAGGTGACGTGGGGCGGGTAGGAAGGCCGTGTGTGGTCGTAGTAGTCCGCCGAGGGCAGCTCGTAGCCGGTGTGATCGCCCGAGTTGGAAGGGGGCAGATAGGGGTCGTAGGAGACGTGAGGCTGCGAGGTAGGCTCGGCGCCGAGGTCGTAGGTTGGATAGGCGTTGTTCTGTCGAGTGAGCGACTGCCTTCGAGCCTCTGCGGTCTGAGGATGGCGGCCGTCGGGCGACTGGTGCTGGGCCTCGTCCGAGGTGCGTCCGCCGCCTCCGAAGGGATAGCGAGGAGGCATTGCGAGTTGCGATGCGTTGCGTCGATCGAAGTGGGCTTAAGCGCGCGCGCGCGCGTGGGTCCTCGAGGGAGAATGAGGTGAAGGTCCAAGTCCGGCTTGCAGGGCGAAGGTCCGGACCAATGAAGGGAGGGTCGTGCTAAAGAGGAAAATGTTCCTCCTGGGTATCTAGGTCCGGTCTTTGACGTCGTTGCGCACCACGCGTGGGAGATGGTGGTAGCAAAGGACAAACACGCAGGAAGGGAAGCAAAGTGCGGAGTTGAGCGAGCTCGTAGGCGCACTCGAGGGCGAGCTTTGCACGTGAGCGGGACGGGGCGGAACACAAAAGCAGTTGAGCAAGCGCCGTGCGGGCCAAGGCTGTGCGCCGGCAGCCGACGATTTCTGGGCGGTCTGGGCGCGCCAAGTCTGAAGGTGCGCTTCAAAAAAGGCAGGCCAGCCTTGGCCGTGTTGGACTATCCGATCTACGCGCCCAGAGAGAGGTGTTGCTCTGCGCATCTGCATCATCGCCTTCTGCTCCACTTTTTTTTTCGCCGTTTCGGCAGGTCCGCGCCCCTGTGCCCCCTCTCTTCGGATGGAAATTCTCCTGTCTACAGAGGCGAGGCTAGAGGACCCTGGAGAGCCAAGAGAGGCCGGGCCGCGCTGACGAAGCCTGGCAACGGGGCACCAGGACCCTGTGGATCAGCCCAAGTCTGCAGACCGCATCCAACGGCGTAAAAAAATATGCAGATACACCTGTACGGCGCCCCTGTCAAAAACAAGAAACGCCCGGCCGCAAATTTCCCTTTGCACCGCCCTCTCCTCTTCCGCGGCTGCAGGAGGTTCGCGCCGCATGGCTGTGTCGCCAGGCACTTCCGACGCAGTCCCTTTACTCCGCGGTCATGCTGATTGCTGCTCTATCTTCACGTCCCGGCTATGTATCACAAGTCTTGGTCGGAGCCAACACAAACTACGATTTGAAGCTATTGAGACGGAACAACGGATACACCGACTGGCGGTGTCACGACAAGCCGACTCCGGCGAAGATCTCCGAAATCAGGCCCGGGAAGACGGATCAAAGGGCTGGTACGCGGGCAGGCCCTCATCCAGGCGCGCTTCCGCCTCGCTCTCTTGCAGACCCGCCAGCGGCTGCGGGCGGGCGGCTCCGGCTCCTGAAGGCTGTGGCTCGACACCGTATAGCTCCGCCTGCTGCTGCTGTCGCACCAACCGCGCCTGCGCCGCGTGCTGCTGCACCTCTGCCGCCTCTTGCCTCGCCTCGAGCTCCTTGCGCTCCCTCTCGCTCATCGGCGCTCCCGCGTGCAGCGTCGACTGAGACAAGTCCGACGACATCGATCCGGATGCTGGCAGATGCACCGCACCACTGTGTCCAGGCGTGGCCAGATCCGAGAAGCCCGATGCCGCCGATGCAGACGATGTCATTCCCGGACTGATCCGTTGCGGCGTAGCCAAAAGCGGCGCGCCTGACTGCGCACCCAGCAGCGGCTCGCCCCGCAGCGTAGCCCCGTCCACCAGCCAGCTGCCCAGGTACGCAACGGGCGCAGCGTCTCCCACGGTCCTGATCGCCGAGCTGCCCACCGACAGCTGCGTGACAACTTGCCGGATTTTCGCCTCTGCCGTGCTAGCAGCGGCCGCCGAGTACTGCAGCTCAAACACGTAGCTGCCCCTCCATACGCTGCTTGCACCTGATGCCGCCACCATGGAAGCCGGGCGACGGTCAACTTTGCGAATCGACACCTCGGTGCACTTGCTCAGCTCCGGCACTACTCTGTCCAGCACGCTCGGTGAGTCGCTGTAGCTGCCGGACTCGGCTACGAGGTCCGAGCTGACTGCATCGTGCACGCCCAGCAGCGAGCGGCCCACCATGCCAACCTGTGCAGACGCGCTGTACAGCCGCGACAGCGAGGCCGGCAGCGAGTTGGTGGCCAGCAAGCTCGGCAGCGGCTCGCTCGCCAGCACCAGGAAGCGCGTGCGGTTGTCCTGCACGTCCTGAATCTTGGAGCGCAGCACCCTGACGCCTACGGTCTTTACAGCCGCCTCGGCGCCAACCGCCACAACGAGCGAGTTGGATGAGAAGCCGAGCGACTCGCCCGATGCCATGCCTGGCGCAGTGCCGGCCTCGAACTCGAGCGCCGTGATCGCCGCTGCGGCCGTCGAGTCGACCGCCTTCTTGCGCGCCTGCGGCAGATAGCGCGTGAGGTAGCGTGCGCACTGTCCGAGCGCCTGCTCGTGCGAGATCACATTGGTGATGTTGGACAGCGTATCGTCGCGGATGGGCGCGTTGGCATCCGAATCGCCCTGAAGCGCCAGAAGCCTCTGGTACGTGCGCGGCCCACACAGCAGCGCATGGTCCACCGCTAAGCATGCTTCGCCCACCACATGCAATTGGGCGCCCTCCGAGGGCCGCATGGCGTGGCGGTCACCGTTGCTGATGTTGAGCAGATTGTCCAGCGTGTCCCGAACAGGTCCGAATGTGCTGTTCTCCACCGGCACGATGGCGATCTTGGCGTTGCCGGGCGTGCCACGGCGAACAAAGTCGATGGCGCCCGTGATGCTCTGCATGGGGATGAGGTTCGTTCCGGTCTCGCCAAACACCTTGAGCGCCGCCTGGTGGCTGTAGGTGCCAGTAGGGCCGAGGTAAGCCACCGCACCCGCAGAGATTGAGGCGGATCGCTGGCCAGCAGATGCCCTGCGAGGGCGAAGCGTGCCCGACTTGGGTCCGCCGGGTCCGCTCGGAACCACACCGGTCTCTGCGACCGTCGGACCGGGTGGACCCGATGCTTCTTCATCTTGGACGGATGGATGAGCCGCCGATGTGGCAGCGACGGGGTCAGCAAAAGGATCCGGCTGAGGCGAGCGCAGCGTGTCGGAAGCTGCCGAGGGGCTGCGGTTGGGCCGAGGCGGGAGAAGGGGCGCGGGAAGCGTGGACGGGCTGAGGTTGAGTTTCTGCGTCGATCCGTTACCATCTGCGCTGGCTGGCTGCAGTCGATCATTGCGATCGAGCGACAGACTGCTTCGTCGGGGCGACGCAGGTGCAGCACTGGCGACAGTCGCTGGCGTCGCTGCATCGCTTGCAGCCTCGTCGCGCTGCAGCTCCGCGCGATGCGAGACAGCGTAGGAGACGGTGTCTGCACGGCCGAGGCTGGTGCCAGATGACAGTGCGGCCTCCGAGGGCAAGCTCGGGACGGACAGATCCGGACGGAAGGACGTGAGGGCAGAGGCAAGCGCCGCACGCACCTCTGCGGTGCGAGCCGCGCCTTCCCAGAGCGGGATGGTCTCGCCGCGCGGCTTGACTGTGGCCGGGAAGGGCGACTTGTCGGTGGGGATGAGCGTGGTCATGAGCTTGCCGTAGCGGGCGACGAGAGCCATCTTCTCGCCGAGCTCGATGAGACTGTCGAACATGGCCGAGTAGCCCTCCTTGAGGCTCTCGCGTTTGGTCCTGCTGAGGGACTCTTCGTCAGCCTGGTCGTCGTCGATGAGGTCCTTGAGGCGCTTCTCAGCTTCCCGGGCGCGTTCGCTGCCGGCGGACATGGCACGCTCGGGCACGAGGGCATGGAGCTCCTTCTTGAGTTTGTTGCGGGCAGCGCGGCGCTGGCCAAGCTCCATCTCTGCCTTTTCGAAACGCTTGAGACGGTTGCGGGCCTGTTCGGCGCTCTGGCTGTGCGCGGTCTCGAGCTGTCCGATCTCGTGCCAGACGTAAGCGAGACGATCGGTGACATCGACGAGCACTTCATCGCCCACACTGTCGTCGCGCTTCTCCGGGAGATGATGCTGACCCCAGGTGAATGTGGCTTTGGCGAGGTTCTTGGCCTCTCGTCCCGCAGCTTCATGATCGATGTTGAATCCTTTGACGGCCTGGCTGAGGAGGTGGAACTGGCGGGTGGACTCGTAGCGAGGGTCGACGGAGGCGATACCGTGTCGGAGGAGGTGAGGAACCGAGCCGGTGTAGAAGCTGGAACCGGTGCCTGAGGTGGTGCTGGAGTTCGAGGTGTCGCCGGTCTTGCTGGCGGATGAGGCGGCGTGGTGTGCCTGAAGCTGCTGGGCCGCAGCCTCGGCGCGCTCACGAGCCTTTGCGAAGAACGACGCCATACTGATGGTCGCTGTTGGTGTTCCAGCAAGGGTTGGAAAGGGATGGAGGCGGAAAAGAGAGCAAGGCGGAACGGCTAGCTCTATGCTCTGCCTCGTGCCGACAGAGCTCAGCCGGCTGGACGCATGATGGACACAGCCTGGCTGCGCGGCGACATGGCCAAGTCAGCAGGTCCCATTTCCGAAAATCTAATCGAAGGCTGTGGCTCCCGAGGCAGAGCTTGAGGCTGCGCTCCGCGCACAGGGCAGCTCCACATGCGTGCGCCCCACTCTGAAAAAGCTCGCGTGACCCTCGGAGGCTCAGCCACGGCCTCCAATATGCTCGGTTGCCCACACTCTGCCGTGAGCTCATATCCATACCCAAATGATACCGCTTCGGCACCGGCCTCTTACGCCAGCTCTCATGTGTTCTTGACAGTCCACGGCATTCATTTCGGCGTTCAGTGTTTGCAGCCACCGATCTTGGCGTGAGCCTTTTGATCGTCTTTTTTTTGGCCTTCTTTCCACGAACCTTTTTTTTTTCAGAGATTGCAACCAGTGTGGAGAACTGGAAGAGCGGTTCCGATCTAACTTTTTCAAGCGACGTGTCGCGGACGGATGGGCCGTTGCTACGTCTGCGCGCGCGGCCAAATCCAGTCACGGACGTCGGCCTGGCCGAACAGAAAGCCAGAGGCTCTGGACCCTGTCATTCCCATACGAGCGGCTCAGGGCGTTGCAATCCTGACGAGCCCGTTGTACTACAAATTAAGCTGGTTGCGCGCTCGCACTCCCGGGTTTGGGCCGTGCGAAGGGTTTCAGCCGTCATGTGCTGCCGCATACTCGTCGCAATGTACGTCTCAGATATTTGCTCTTGCGCCGCTCGTGCCGAGGCTACGCGCGTGGCGCAGGCGTGGCGCTGGCTGCGCGGGAAGATGGCGTGGTGGTATCATTGCGAACGACGAGATACAATGGCAGATTTGTACGCCATCGCTGCAGATGGTTGGGCTGTTCACGCATCTACCTCCATCGACGCATGTGCTGGCGCTGGGGCCGCGGCATCCTCCTCCTCCTCCTCGTCTTCTGGACCTGTCGATCGAGCCAGCTGATCCAACAATGCGTCGGCGAGCCTTGCCGCCTGGACGCTTCCGATCCGGATGGCCTCGCTGATCCGCTTGAACGGGATTTCGTCGGTGCCCGTGGTGCGTACCGAGAGCACCTTGGACGAGCGTGTTGCGAGCACCTGCACGCGTGCGCCGACACACGCCTCCTCGTCCACATCGGCATCGAGCAAGTAGCTGTGGGGCAGCACGTTGACCGTGATGCACAGCGGCAAGTCCTGACGACCGTCTAGCGCCGCTCCGTCCTCACCGCTGTGCTCGAGCTCGAAATCGACCACCTTGGAGGCCGGTCCGGACCTCGCGTTGGACGGACCCGCAGCGTGTGTCTTGGGCTTCTTCTTGAGCAGACCTTTGATGCCCATCTGGTCCAGATCACCCTGCGAATTGGCAAATGCGCCTTGCACAGCGTTGCCCGACTCATCGAGCGTGGCAGGCGCCTCGAAGGCCACACCGCGCGTGGCGGGGATGCGAGTGTCGTAGAAGGCGGCGAAGATGGCAGCAAAAGCAGCGTCGAACAAATTGCCACCGGAGAGCGAGTTGACGAGCAGGTCGATGTATATTGTCCAGTGCTTGGCGTTGGCGATGATGAGCAGCTGGTGCAAAGGCAGCGGCGATGATCTTGGCGAGAAGGCCGAGTTGACCATGGATGAGAGAGAGATGGACAATGCGTCCAGCACCTTGCTATCGAACGAGTGTACCAAGGATTGCGAGCTGCGAAAGCAATGCGAGGATGATCAATATTGAGTGCCCATCTTGGAGCCAGAGAACGTGCCAGTCCTCCCCGAACAAGGCAACACTTACTAGTCTACCGAGCACTTGATGCGTCCCGTCTTTCTGCCCTCGGCCGCGAGTTCCTGGTCGTCCTGAGTCTGGAACTCGGCCTCCTCATCCTCGTCGTCGCTGTCATCTCCAAAGCTTCTTACTTCTGCTTTGATACCGCAGAAGATTTCTGTGCCGCCGAGCGTGATGCGAGACGATCCGTTTGCCTGTGCTGCGACGGAGGTGTCGATTTGCAGGGGCCGGAAGGCGAGCAGATGGCGTCCGTCCGACCTTTGCGGTGGATCCGAAGTGAGACCTCGTAGGAAGAAGTCGCCCTGCGATCGCGACAGAGCTTGTGGTGCCATGGCTGTATCGATTGCCGCGATGCTGTGGTCTAGGTGGCAGAGAGCGAAGGTGAGGAGCTGCAGCCTGACTCTTGCCGCCAGCCGCAAAGCAAAAAGCAGGAAACCTCCAAAAAGATCTTGCCAAAGTGGAGGCACGTGACCCAGGCCATCCGACACGCCTGTTGGGCTTTGCGCCTCGAGACCAACACACACACTTTCGCCCTCGCCTCGCCGCGTTGCATCAAAATACAGTATCGCAAAATCATCCAGGCTGCTGTGGCTCGAAATTTCTGCTGTTCGCGCCTCAGCAGCCAACTCAACGCGTCGTCGAGAAAGGGCGGCAGCAGCAGGACATCCACAGACCCTGCCGGTCGACTGCGCCGCAAACACCATCAAAGCGCAGCGCGCTGCTCGCCGTCGGCTGCCGCTTCGTCTTTTCTTTACGTCCACACCGTAATTTCGATACACATCCCCATCAACCGCCACGATGCCAGTTGCCGTCGCCTCGAGGGCTTCGGCCGGCGCTTCTCGTCGTGAGGCCGTCGAGAAGCCGCGCAAGGAGATCACGCATCCGACCTTGCTCGCCCTGCACGCCTCCATCCCGCCTCTCTTCCAACAGGCGCAGCACAGCCTTGCCAACCATCGCAAGAACATCGTCTCGCTTCATCGCATCCACCTCAAGGTCGCCGCCATCACCGAGCCCGCCTCCGACGGCCGCGTGAGACCCATCGGCGAAAAGGCTTTCAACGAGATCTTTGTAGGCTGTCTCGATCGCGTCTTGCCCATCAAGAAGGGCGTTCCCAACGCCGATCGCATCTGCAAGTTCGTCGCCGGATACGTCACCTATGCTCAGGAGCAGTTCCGTCTGCAGGCGCGCGCCGACCGCGCTGCAGCTCGCAAGGAGGCAGGTGAGCCAGAGGGGCAGGAAGACGATGACGAGGAAGAGGAGGACACCTCGGCCACCAGGTTCACCTCGCTCCTCCTCAAGCACCTGCTCAAGGGCTTCGTCTCCAAGAACAAGAACGTTCGCCTTCGCTGCTGTGGTTGCATCGCCCTCCTCATCAATGGCCTCGAAGCTGTCGATGAGAAGCTCTTCCAGACGCTCAAGTCCTTCCTCCTCTCCCGTGCCAGGGACAAGGAGGCGGCTGTCCGCGTACAGGCCGTCATCGCTCTCACCAAGCTCCAGACCGCCGATGATGACGACGACGAGGACTCGGAAGACATCAAGCAGGCCCTCATCGAGACGCTCCGTTTCGACCCCAGCGCAGAGGTGCGCCGAGCTGCCCTCTTCAACCTCACGCCTGACGAGCAGAATTCGCCCCTCCTCCTGGAGCGCCTGCGCGACATTGACCCCATCAACCGCCGCTGCGTCTATCTCGGCAGTCTCACAATGATGCTCAAGGCGCAGAACAGGTCGCTCCAGGGCGCCGCCTCTTCGCAAGCCGGGCCCTCGCGTCTCGGTCTCGATATTGATGCGGCCGGAGAGGTCGTCCGCGTCGGCATGGGCGAACGAGAGCCGAGCGTCAAGCGTGCCGCTCAAAAGCTCGTCACCGCCTGGTTTGACGCGTGCGGCGGCGACCTAGTGGTCTTTCTCAACCAGTTCGACGTCGTCGCGTCCAAGCACATCGAGGCCGCCCTCATGAGCATCTTTGAGAGCCGCCCGGCCATCGTCGCCCAGGTCTCGTTCGATGCTGACGAGTTCTGGGCCAACCTCGCTCCCTCTACCGCCTTCCTCGTTCGCGTCTTTGTCGACTATTTCCGTCGCACCAAGAACGACCGCCGCCTCGAAGAGTGCCTTCCCATGGTCACTGCGCTCGCCTTCCACATCCAGAAGGAGTACGAGGGTCTCGGACAGCTCATCAAACAGTACAATGCGCTCTCTAGCAGCGCGCTCGCTCCCCAAGACGAGGTCGAAATTGTCGCCTTCACCATCCGCAACAAGACCTTTGTCGTCTCGCAGCTGCTCGGCATCGCGCTCGCCTCCGACTACGGCGACGAGATCGGAAGGAGAAAGATGTTTGGCCTGGTGCGCGACATGATCTCGGACGTCGAGCTGCCCGAGGATCTGGTGCCCACCTGTCTCGATGTCCTGCTCAAGCTGTCCAACGGACAGAGGGACTTTATGCGCATGATCGTCGAGATCGTCCAGGTGCTCGGAGGCGAGGATGACGACGAGACGGTCGTATCGGACGACGATGACGCCGACGACACCATGAGCATCGACGGCACGCCGTTGGCGCGCAAGAAGCCGCGCAAGTCGATCAAGGTCAAGGATGCGCCGCCGCAGAATGCGCTCGCCATCGAGCATCGGCGCCTGACCATCGTCCGTGCCATGCTTGAACGTGTCGTCGGTGCGCTCCAGGAGAACACGGCGTTCCACGGTCTGCTTCCCCAGCTCATCGCGCCGGCGGTGCGCTCCAAGGACGCTCCCGTACGTGAGCTCGGCCTGACGTGTCTCGCCTTGTGCGGTCTGTTGGACCGCAAGCTGGCGCTCGAATATTTCCCGCTCTTTCTCCAACAGGTGCAGCAAGCCGAAGGCGAGATCAAGCTGCGCGTCGTCCAGGCCGTGTTCGATCTGCTGATCTGCCACACCATCCCCTACCTGTGCTCGTGCAACCCTGCGGGCGAGGAAGTGGGCAAGCGCCAGATCGTGGCCTATCTGCTCAGCCTGCTCGAGGACGACGATGCAGCCATCCAGAGCGCAGCATGCGAGGGCATGGCGAAGCTCATGCTGACCGGCATGGTCGAAGACGACGAGGCGCTCAAGAGCCTCGTGCTCATCTACATGTCGCCCGAGACCATGCAGAACCAGGAGCTGCGCCAGTGCCTGTCGTACTTCCTGCCCGTCTACTGCGGCTCGTCGAGCTGGAACCAGCGTCGCCTGCAGCGCGTATTTGTGTCGGTGCTGCAGGTGCTCACCGAGGTGTACGAAGAAAAGGACGAGGACCAGGAGATGGTCACACCCATGCAGGTTGGCCTGCAGCTGCTCGACTGGACCGATCCGGACAAGGTCATGATGGTCGCCGGTCGCGTGCGTGACGAGACGGTGCATGTTGACGTGGCCATCGATCTCATCAAAGGCATGTACACCATCGAAGAGAAGGACCAGCGCAAAGTCATGTGCCAGCTGCTCGGCAAGGTATTCCTCCCCGACGAATTGCCGGACGCCAAGGTCCAGGAGACTCTCATCCTGCTTACGGGACTGAAAGAACTCAACCCGCTCGAGGACACTGTCTCCAAGAATGCACTCGGTCGCTTCGAGACTGCGTTCGTCAAGGCGTATGCGGCGCAGTGCGAAGCTGGACTCGACGGCCTCGACCTCGACTCGACGCCGGCGTTCGATGGGCTCAAAGCGTTCTTCGACGCGATTCGCGTCGACGTCAACGACGTCATCGCAGCTCATGCCGAGTCGGCCGCCAAGGCTGTCAAAGCCAGCCGAAAGTCGACCTCCAAGTCGGCATCTGCACGAAGCTCCGCTGCTGCGGCCGGTAGGACTGGCACGAGGCGCAAGGTCGCCGACAGCGAGGATGAAGACGATGATGCCGAGGATGATGACGACGATCAGGACGACGAGGACGACGACTAGATCCGTTTTTGTATACCGTTTCCGTCTTTGACTGTACCACTGAATAAGCTACGTCTCCAAGGATCCCAAGTGCCGATTCGCTGTGCATCGGTGTGCAAAAGGTTGGCATTGATACAAGTGAGGCGTGACAGGAATACATGAAGGCTACTACGAGGAGCGAGAAAGGCCTCTAGAGAGGAATACTGCGGAAGTCACGGCTGCACCCAGGAGGACGCCCGCGAATCCGGTCAGATAAGGACTTGGGTATCCGACGACTGGACATGTTCCGAAAAGCGCCTTCTTGAGTCGGACGTCCGAGGGCAAGAACGGCAATCCACCCTTGACCTCCTTGTAGCTGGGCACGTAGCCGGTCTCCCAACCGTCGAGGATCTTCTTCATGTCTGGCTCGGTCATGGTGCAAATTTCGTCGAGGTTCCACTTTTCGCAGACCTCGATCATCCAGCGCATGCGTCTCGCACCGATCTCTGCGCTCGGCGCCCTCTTCCTCAACATCGCCCGCAGCTTGCCGACGTTGGTGATGGCTTGACCGACGTTCTTGGGGATAGCAGCTTGGATCTTTTGGCGCGTTTGCGAGGCGATCTTGGGGCCCTGCCCACCGGTGGACACCATGACCTGGAGTGGGCCGTTGCGGATGAGCGAGCCAAAGTAAAAGTCGCACTCGGGCGGCACGTCGGCCACGTTGACGGGGATGCGGCGAGAGCGGCACTCGTAGCAGATCTTCTTGGACAGCTCCACATCATCGATCGCCGTGAGGACCATGTCGTACTGGTCGAGGATTTCGGGGTGCGCNCGTTGACGGGGATGCGGCGAGAGCGGCACTCGTAGCAGATCTTCTTGGACAGCTCCACATCATCGATCGCCGTGAGGACCATGTCGTACTGGTCGAGGATTTCGGGGTGCGCTTCGTCGTAGTTGGCATCAACGTAGTTGGATACGACCTTTTCGGTGTAGATGCGGTAGCGCATCTCGTCGCAGAGTCCCGACGAAGGGCACATGACGTCCAGAATGGCATCGGCATCCAGCACGTTGACCAGTCGGCCTGAGCACCGCGACAAGGCAATACATGTCAGCTGCCATTCTCGTTACTGTCTTTCGTTGGCATCGTCTTGCACCGTCGAGTGCTGTTGACTATCACGTACCTGCTGCTACGGGACCGCCTCCGACGATGAGAACCTTCTTGCCCTTGAGTTGCCACGCGATGAGTAGACCACCGCCAGGGCAAAGGCGCGGATATCGCTCCGCCTCGTCCTGCATCGGACACTTGGAAGGATTGCGCGACGCCATGACTGCGAAGATCGTGCCTCTCCAGGATACCAATTGAAGTTGATCCGATGATGGTGCGGTAGGAAACTCTCGGCTGATAAGAAGGAGCTAAGCTGCGGCCAGTCAAACATTAAGCAGCGGCATGAATTTCGGGCTTAGATATGCAGCCTTC